TCGAAAAAAAAGTTTCCCATATGGTGCGCACTTTAATGGTGACACTGTATATCTACACAATCTGGTGGCCATTTTGATTCGAAATAGTTTTCCCACTATTTGTGGGAAATGGCGAAAATACATGCATCAAACTGAAGACTTCAACAGAGTAATTGAATGAGGTGATACTCATTATCTATCCTTCAATATTAAAAAAACAAACTCAATCATCTTCGAATTTGATTGTAATATTAATAAATCAAACGGCTATAGAAAACGGATATTTGGGTTTCTTCAGCATTTCACTTAGATGCTGTCACTTCAAGCAAACATTTTTAAATCTTGAAGCATTCCAAACGTTTGAAAATCTGTTACCGAACTGCTTTCTATCACCATCAATATCAAACTATTTTATAACTACTTGAAAAATATTTCTTGACTGTTTTGGAAGACTAAACTCCAGGGAACTCTCAATAACAAGAAAAAACCTTTTTTGTAAGACTGGTTAAATAGTCTACATGAAACTGGTGAAAGATGGTTGGCGCATTTTTCGAGTAGTACTTCATTAGGAGCAGTAGCATGGTTGATTTTTTTGCAGTTTCAAAATATTTCAATTATGATGCTATCAAAAAGCAATATTTGGGATAGTATAGTGGAAATATTAGGTGAAATAGGATGCAAATTATGAAGCAAGTCATTGGATTTTTTCTAAAATGTTTGTGAGAAAATTTTGAACTTTATGAAATTTTGACTAAGGATGAAGTCACTGATTGGAAAGATATAGATAGATATAGATAAAGGTTGCGGTCAGTGCAACCTCACTGTATACAAGGTTGTATGTTGATGGATCATCAGAGAATGGTGTTGAAGATCATTCCTTTTTTGCAAATCGGGAGTGCTTTCGCGTTGTTCAGGCTGTTCTTCAACACTTTTTGGTAATTCACCCGAAGTGATGTAGAAAACTGTTTTGTCAGTGGGATAGTAGGGTAATCAGTTCGTATAACATCAAGAGAGATTGGTCACAGAGAAAAATTTTAAGCCTGGTGAAACATGTGTAAAATATCCATTGCTGTCAGAACAAGCATTCAAGCACCTTTTGAGAAATTTACTTGACTATATATAGTATGCAGTAAAACGGTAAGAACATTAAGCAACCGGTGGTGATTTTCCTTTTTTTTTCGGAGAAAACATTGTTTTTGATGAGATGTGTGCTTTTGTGTTCGTATATTGTTGTTGACTCTGAATGGGCATCTATCTGTGTGTAAAAGTATTTGTAACACATGTTACGATATTTTAGCATCCCTCAACACCACTGTCTCATCCCGATCTAAATCCAGTTCGGTAGTTACAAAAAATGAAGACGATAGATTGGCCAAACTGTTGCAAAACCAAAACAAATCACAAAGTATAGATTCAACTAAGCAAAATCGAAAAGTAGCTCCTAAACATACAGAAGGAAGTAACGAAGGTAAGATATCACGTATGGCACGATCCTTGGCACACGCACTTAAAAACGAAGTTTAACTTTGTTCAGAAATTGATTCGAATACTGAATTGATGTTCAATGTAAATGAATGAGTGCAAAATACAACCCATACTTCTTTCCTGAAAGTACCACTTTTCAGTTTCTAAATTATATATAGATTTAAACCAATAGAAGTCGGTTTAGAAATAGTAACAGAAACAGTTCTTTCGAATGCTTTCTTTTCATCAAAGGACTAAACATTTTGAACGGTTGAGTTCCACACTGAATTCATCTTAACATCTAATGCAATTGAAAAGGCAGCACATTTTTTATTCATTCTTGATTGACTGTGAATCAATACACAGATTTATGATGATTGAGACTCTTAGGTAGCATTAGAAAGAACAAAGTACAATAAATCCAATCGACTGGTGAATGGCATTTTTTCGTAAAAGAAAGAATTTATGAATTACGGCATTAGGGAGGCTGTCTCTATATGATAATACTTTGAAACAAATTAAATCATTTGAAAATATTGCTTTCGAACACACTTGACACTTCGGCTTATGACTCAACTAGTGCTTGGGCTTCTATATACCATCAGCTACCTTGTCATAAATATGAAAATTTTACTGCTTCTAGCTTTTTGTGCATCGTTAAATATTTTTAATCAAAATCTTGTTGAATAACAGAAAAATTATGCTTTTCCCTCAGCTGAACAAGTAGTAACGAAAGATGTAATGGTAGAGGTGATGAAAGACACCACTTCCACCAGTGAGGAACACGACAGCAGAAACTACGAGCCAGTTATAAAATCCCCACCAGAACCAACCAGAGTGAAGTCTCCAGAACAGATTATCTTGCGTTCACCTGATCCAGTTAACTGGACTGTGCCTTTGGACACCGGAAAAACGTTCACAGTGACACAGAATGTAAGAGAAGGTGAGTAAACCGTATTATCATATTCATTTTTCGAATCTAGTTAATGGGGTGAGTATATTTATACGGACAGGAACATAATTGAGTAAAGACAGTGTTCACTTTTGTAAACCATGGTTTGGTTGCTTCTAAAAAATACTAATGAGATGGCAATGGCAATGACAACCTAGTTGATTTGTTTCTAATTATAATAAATCATTTGCCATTTTTGTTCTACTTTGAAGTACATAATCATGACACTTCTTCACAAAAGAGGTTGAACCGGTGATTAACTTCAGACCAATCTCGATTTCATCAAAGTTATCAAAGATATACAATTGAGAAATCAATAAAACGTAGAGAGAGAGTATAGCTGTATATTGGTTCAGGTAATATCTCACCTGAACTTCCATAAGACATTTAAACAGAGAGTTATTCATGACATAATAAGTACTATAATCATGATATTGATGAGATGTTATCAATCTTACAAATTGATGGAACTCCAAAAGAAATTTAACCAGACTCCATTCTTCGATTGAAATGAATATAGAAATCGAAAGTTCATATTGAATAATTATGACTGAGTTCTTCTTGAAGAATGATTGAATGATTGAGTTAGTCATTTTTGCTTATACGACAAAAATATAATGAAAACATTTGGCAATGCTGTAAACTTGAACATAGTTCTATGTGGTTGTCGTCTTTCGGGATACAAGTTTAGATACATTTCCGATGTCCTAACACTATTTCTATCGCACTTGTGATAAATTTGTATCATGTCTCTTTTTTCTTCATTCGTGAAATCCATTTTTCGTCAAAAATTCAATGACTTGTACAATAACAAAGTGTCATAGAGTGTAACAAATTGAAAGTCAAATTTAGAAACATCAAAGTCAAAGCCTATTATCATAAGAATTATTTTTTTTCAAATTCAATTTTTCGAAAAAGAATGATAACTTATGATAACATAATTGAAAAGGTTGAATCTGGTTCTATTAAAAACAGAAAGAATCCAATGTAGCGCCCATGAGAAAAAATAAAGTTGATGATGGTGGCCGGACGACGAAACGTTGGATAGCAAATCTGAAAAGACCATTATGTAGCAGGAAAAAAGTGGCAATGCGAAAGTACAATGTATTTTCGAATTCGTTGAAAAATGAATCCAAAAAAATAAGAAACATTTTACGAAATTTCTATTTTTTGCGGATATCTCCGGATATATTCGGAAATATTATTATTATTATTTTACCCGAAGTATGCGTTGGTCAGACCCTATGCCCCGAAGCCCCGATACATTCGGGAGAGCGCGCCAGCATTATCAACCAACGACCACTCCCCACACCGTGGGGTAAGTGATCATCGGCTAAAATTTCTGCTTTAATGCGGCAGACCGGTATGATTTTAAGATTCGAGAGCAGAGAGGGCATCATTCCACCAAAGACTCCAATAATCAGAACAACCATCTTGACAGAGTGGTCTGGATAGAGTCTGGATAAAGTCATATTGAGGATAACAGAAGGCAAATGATGGAGCAAGGAAAATATGAAAAAGGTTGGCACAGGGATCTAATTCTTTCGAACATATTCAAGTTTTAACTGTCTCAATCTGTTATTAACAAATGTCACTATACTCATAGTATAACAGATTTTCCTGACTCTTTATTTTACTTGCAATAATTACACGTCATGATATGTACGAAGTACTCCATTCAAGAGTTGTAATAATTTTATCGTGATCTTGTGGAAGTTCAGTGTGCACATAGAATCACATCCAAAATTCAAAACGATAACAAGAGGTCTGGCCGATAGAAAAATAGTGAAAAGGCATATTGAGGAGAAATTCGATTAGCTGATGCTAGCTTATCACCGCTACTTTAGATCAATCAATCAATGATGTACTTGAAAGAAATCGCACGTCTTCATCTGAAAGAAAATTGCAACATTATTATTGTTTGTACCCTTGTGGGTTCTTGAAACTGATTTTCGTGAAGATGACATCAAATAACATGGTCCACTGGTTTTGCCAGATGAATAATTTCAAAATACCTCCACTGAAGGGATCCAATGTAACTGAAGACTACATACATTATAGTCGAAGTAACTGATATAGCAATTCTTGAAGCTATCGGCGAACTCAAAGGCCAAAAAAAAATACAAAGAAATAATGCCGCTACGAATTAATCCAAGTGGACTGAAGAATTGGTCTGGATAGAGTCTATCCAGAATCTATCCAGACCACTCTGTCAAGATGGTTGTTCTGATTATTGGAGTCTTTGGTGGAATGATGCCCTCTCTGCTGTCGAATCTTAAAATCATACCGGTCTGCCGCATTAAGGCAGAAATTTTCGCCGAACAGATGCAGAAGGCTGCCATTCTTGGCTCACTGCGCTTTCTCGGGTCACATGATTTTCGGACCCAATGGTCACTTACCCCACGATGTGGTCGTTTGTGGTTGGATCGTGATTTATCGTGCTAAAATCGTTTTCTGTTATATATTTGTTCACTTTTATACTTAATTAATATATATGTATA